CAGAGGTACCTGGGGGATTTGGAGAAGACCGAACGAGTGTCCTGGTTCTCTTACTCCTTGCCGACGGAACGCAGCCTCAAGGTAGCCATCAGAGGGTTACCAACCACGACGGAACCGGCAGAAATCCAAGAGGCTCTGGAGGACCTTGGATTTAAGCCAGAATTCGTCCGCCCAATAAAAGCTAGACAGGGGAGGCCGGGATGCATCTTCCTGGCCATCCTAGCTCAAACACCCAATTTGACGCCTAAAATTTACCAAGTGACGGAGCTGCTGTGCATGCCAGGCGTCATCATCGAGGCCTGGCGCGGCAAGCGAGGACCTGCACAGTGTCACCGCTGCCAGGCATACCGCCACTCCAGCCACCACTGCCACCGCCCGTTGGCCTGCGTCAGATGTGGCGGTGAGCACGCAGCGCGCGACTGCCCTCGGCCCCTGGAGGAACCTGCCACCTGCGCCAACTGTGGCGGTCCCCACCCAGCGAACCATTCTTCATGCCCGCAGTTTAAGAGGGAGCTGCGGAACAAGAGGGCTGGAGCCGTGGCAATTACACGGGAGATCAAGCGCTCCCAACCCTCGCAGGCTCCAACTGCTGTTACGACAGTCCAAGAACACCAAGGTGCCACTCTGATGGCACCTGCGAACGAGCCCATTCCCAGGGGGGTCTCAGCCGCTCCCCTCAAGAAGAAGAAGAACCGAAAGCGCGGAAAAAAGGGCGGCACTCAGGCCGCAGTTACCGCCCCGCCTCATCCGCCTCAAGCAGCCCCCACATCTGCAGCTCCTGCCACAGCCGCAGCCTCCACCGCAACCTCGACAGCTCGGCCTGCTCCAGCTCCAGCTCCACATACGAATGCCACTCTGCACGCTGCAATCGAGATACTGAAGGACGTACTCGTTGCGCTGCAGACTGGAGGGGACCCTACAGCGGTCGTACTCAACGGAATGGTATCCTTGCTTCGCCATGGCTGAGACAAGGATACTACTCTGGAATGCCAACGGCCTGCGCTCCAAGACCACCATGTTGAGGTGGACTCTCCGGGAGCAACGCATCGACATCGCATTAATTAATGAGACTCACCTAGGCCCGACTGACACCATATCCTTCCCCGGTTACCATCACTACAGACAGGAATACACGGCAGGCGTCAACCGTCGTAGAGGATTACTTGTGCTGGTGAAGAGAGGTATCCCACACAGAGATCTACCCAACAGGCTCAATTCGCCTTCCCTTCAGGCCCTCGGGGTGGAGATAAGCATGGACGGAGCGCTTTTCCATGCCTACGCCGTCTACCGACCTCCCGGCAATCACATTAACCTCACTGAATTACGATCGCTAGTGGAGGCCTCCGTTCCTACTCTAGTGGCAGGCGACTGGAACGCGAAGCACCCAGCCTGGAACGCCGCTATCACCTGCACCGCCGGCAGGCGCCTCTTCACGGACTCGAAAAGGCACCACTACTTCACCACCGGCCCAGAAGTACCAACACATTACCCCTGGACGATTAGCAGCTCCCCCGATGTCATCGACTTCGCCGTACACAAGGAATTGCCTCATTTGACGCTGGACGTGATCCCCGATGACCATGGATCGGACCACATGCCAGTGCTTGCCACCATCCCCACTACGCCACTCCGTGTAGGCTTGCTGCCAGCCAAGGGACGAACCAATTGGGATATGTTCGCAGACCTGATGACCCGCAACTCTCCCTCAAGGATTGAGCCCCTTGAGGGAGACGAAGACATCGACGCACTGGCCTCCAAGCTGTCCGAGGCTATCACCGAGGCAGTCGAGGAAGCCACCGCCCCCGCTAGCAACACTAGACGACTACCACCACCCCCTCCTGAACTGCGCCGCCTCCTCGAGGAAAAGAGGAGTACACGGAGACGCTGGCAGACGACCCGGGACCCCCTTACCAAAACACGACTGAATCGGCTCGCTGAGCGAATCAAGAGTGTGCTGGAAGACGCCTCAGCCGACAGCTGGGATCGACGTCTGGAGGAAGCCGCTGACGACACGACATCACTCCATCGGTTGTGTCGTCAGCTTTCCAAGAAGAAGCCGCCCACGCGACCCTTGCTCCGCACCGACGGCTCCCGATGCTATGACTCTACGGAGAGAGCAGAGATTTTCGCCGAACACCTGGCAACTCAGTTCTCTCCCAATCCCAGTAGAGATCCACGATTCCATGCAGAAACCGAAGCCGCCGTAGCTGAATCTCTCCGCACGCCAATACCGCCTGAGGAAACCCCTCTCTTTTTATCACCCTCCCAGGTGCGAAAAGGGATCGCGGGTCTGAAGCCACGCAAAGCCCCGGGACCAGACGGAGTGACGAATGGGGCACTGCGTCACCTACCGCGCCAGACCATCGCCACACTGGTCCGGCTCTTCAATTCAATACTAAGGACAGGACACTTCCCCGAGCCTTGGAAGAAAGGCGTGATCATCCTTATACCCAAGCCAGGGAAAAGCCCACTACAGCCGGGCAATTACAGGCCGATTACCCTCCTCTCAGCGATGTCCAAGCTGTTTGAGCGACTCCTCCTGTCACATCTCCGGGCGCATTTCCAACCGCGCCCCGAACAGATTGGATTCCGCAGCGGCCACTCGACGACGCTCCAGGTGGCTCGAGTACTCCACCACGTCGCCGCAGCACTCAACAAGAAGGAGAAGATTGTTACCACATTCCTCGACATCGAAAAGGCCTTCGACAGAGTCTGGCATGAGGGTCTCCTCTGCAAGCTCATCGCCACCTCAACACCCAGGCGCATCGTGCAGCTGGTGGCGTCGTACCTCCGGGGGCGCTCCTTCCGCGTCCGGGTGGACGACGCCACGTCATCCGTGCAGCCAATCTCAGCCGGAGTCCCCCAGGGAAGCGTGCTGTCGCCGTTTCTATACTCGCTGTACACCGACGACATCCCGGTAGCCGCCGGTGCCCATCTTGCTCTCTTCGCGGACGACGTGGCGCTCATCACCACGTCCCTCAACGTCACCCACGCCGCCGTGAAGATGCAGAGGGCCCTCGACGCCTTGCCCCCCTGGCTGGACAAATGGAGACTGTCGGTCAACGTCGCTAAGACACAGGCAGTCTCTATAGGCCACGACCGACGCCCGCCGCCTCCCCTAGTGATGGAAGCTACAGAAATACAGTGGACGGCCAAGGCTAAATACCTCGGTGTCAACATCGACTGCTACCTCTCAATGAAAGGACACATCACCGCCACTATCAACAGCGCCAAGGCCGCGATGGCACAGCTCCGCCCGGTCATGTCATCGAAGCTGCCCCTACGTACGAAAGTCGGGATCTATAAGACCTTTTTTTTTTTTTTTTTAACGTTGGGAAATGCATTTACGCACGACGTGTGGGACTCACCGGCGTAATACAGCCAGTACTACCCACTAAAACCCAACAAAACCTTCCCCCGTCTTAATGGGGCGTCGCAGGATCGCTTACGCATTCAACTACGACACCCCGACAGCAGGTCTGCCGAAGCAGACCACCACAACCACGGGGTTGCTCCACAGTCCACTCTGCTATCAGAGAAGTACCAGGAGCAACCCGCATGGTACACCTCCCCCCGAAGAGGGCCACCTCCCACTGCCCACCGAAGTGGGCAACCTCCCTGTGCGTTTCTTAGCTTCGCACCCGGTTGGATTGCCGGGCACTACTGAGCCCCCCCACCACGACAAGGTGAACGCACGTTGGGGGGGGGGATCTATAAGACCTATGTTAGGTCCCGACTAACGTACGCAGCCCCGGCGTGGTTCGCCCTCGCCTCAGAAACCCAGCGAAAGAGATTCCGTGTGCAACAGGCGATCTGCTTACGAAGAATAGTCTGTGCCCCTCGGTACGTGAGGAACGCTACCATACAGCGTGACCTCCGTGTCGAGAGCATCGACGACTTCATCCGCCGCTCCAGTAGGGGGATGCTGGAGAGGGCGGACTCTTCATCCCATGCCCACGTCAGGGACATAGCCCCCTGGCACGCCCGCCCACCGGACCGGACCGGCCCGCGCTCCCTAGGGATCTCCTTCACCAACATGACGCTCAGTAGCCGCCACGGCCGCTGATCGCCTGGCTGGGCCTCCCTGAATAGGGTCTCACCCGGCCGGGCCGATCGCCCGGGCGACTAACATTAAGAAACCGCAAGGGTCCTAGAAGGGCTCTCCCAGCGACGCGCCCATATTTGTGGGCGGCGGAAGAACCCACGGTCAGGGGGCTATGCCCCGATACCGTTTCCCCACTCTCCTTACGGGGAATGTGAGATGACCACGTAGTTTATCGCAGTTCATTACAGTTACTACTAATGTTTAGTTGCCATTTTGTTCAAACGGTTAAGTTAAATGGATATTACGATCTGTGCTTCTAATCTTGTATCACTTTAGTTTGTTATTCGGTTTCCAACATCATTTCATAGTGAATTTTAGGTATATTATTTCCAAGTGTTTTGTTTTATAGAACAATTAATTTACAAGTTAGCATAGATGTTGCTAATTGTTTAAGCCCAGTTGGCTATGGTTATAAACAAAACTGTATTATTTCGAGAAGGCGTTGGAACTCAAGAACATCGCAAGTGAATGCAGGCTTAGACAGGTAAGATATTAAATTATTAATTTCGTAAGATATATATTTAGAGAATACTCGCAATTATACCTGTCGAACACAAGGTCGCACCAAGATAAAAAAATGAAATAGTTTTTATTTCTTAATCATCTTTACAATTTTGTGTTCGAGTCTTCCCAGTAAGTAATCCGAGGATACTTGTGTTGGGAATGGCCCGCTCCTTCCCATGTGCATACTCTATGATTAAGAGGGTGAAACTTTTTTTTAAAACTATATAATACTAATAATAAAAATAATAAAAAGATAATCCTCTGTCTAAAATTTCATCTTATAAAAGACCACGTGCTAATTAATGTATTAATTTTCAGATAAAAAGAGTTGTAAAGAGTCGGAATGGAAGAACACTTGATAAAATTTAGGCCGTCACCAAATTTTAAAAATATGATTAAGTCCAAAATAGATCACGGCGAGATTACTTATCATGCTATACCGAGTGCTGCGCCTGATCCACCGCCGCCTCCTAACATAAGCAGAGCGCAAAAAGTGAAGCCCGAGGTGCAACTACCCTTGTCCTTGGACCCACCCCCTCTGGATAAACATTTAAATCTAAATATACAAGTAAAACAAGAAATTGAGGATCTGGATTATCAAACGTGTGATAAGTCACCAGAAATAGAAGCAGAAACCTCCTAAGAGAGTAAGAATACCCAAGAAAACAAAGAAAAATCTAAAATGCCCATATAATGTCGAGATTGCATAAAGGGTTCCTGTAATAAAAGACAGTGAGCTAAAATATCAATGTGTTAGTAGAGTTACCACGTGTTGATATAATATAATCATTTTAATGGATTTTATGTATTAAATTTTATAATAATTGAATTCGCTGTTGTTTTCTTACTTATTTTGATAAAACATAATTATAAAAAAATTACAAAAAACTTTCTAGCTAAAAAAATATAAAAATATATATATATACAAACTAATATAAAAGCAAAAATAATATAAAAGCATACTCGTAATATTAATATTCTTCACTTTTTTTAGTAATATATAAATGTTAATAAGCAAAAATAGGTACATAATGAATTTATTGTAGTAAAGAACCTTTTTTTGAAGAGGAAGAGGAGTAGCTAATTCATGGGTCCTCTCACAAGCCCCGCCAGGGAAAGTGGGGAGACTATTTCAGGGCGTAGCTCTCTCTGGCCGTGAGTTCATCCACCAACCACTAATAGGGGCATGTCCCTAGGGAGCCCACCTAGGACCCTTCAGGCATCGGAGTGACCGTTTGTTGGTACTACTCCGGCCTTTTCGGGATCCAAGAGGTCCCAGGAAAGCGCGAATCTGCCCGGTGGGCGAGTATACCAGGGAGCTATATTCTTGATATGTGAGAGATCCGATTCATTCGGCTTTCTGATCGAAAGACGAAGTCGTCGATGCTCTCGAGCAAGCCTCGCTGTATGGTAGAATTCTTCACGTAGCACCGACAACTCTTCTTTGTGCGATGGATTGCTGTATGTGTATGTATGTATAGACGTTTTCTCTGGCGTTCCTTTAATAAAGCGAACCAGGCAGATACTGCGTACGTTAGCCGGAACCTAATGTAGGAGGCAGCGTGGTTAGGGTTGAGGGATATGGAAATAAGCGCCACCACGTCATCTGCAAGGAGTGCGTTAGAGGAACCGACTGTCGTCTGTGTGCAATGTATACAAACATGGCAACAGGACGTTGCATTGAGGGATTCCGGTCTCTATTAGTCATCGTCAGAGTGGCTGTTCTCCACGTGGACGCCACTTTTTTTTATCGTCGGGAAATGCATTTACGCATACCACCTGATCCCCAGGTGGTGATGTGGGGCTCACCAGCTAGAAGAGCCGGTACTATCCACTAATACCCGACATTCCTTAGAATTCCGAGAGAGGGAGGAGTCTCTCTAACAGCTTGGATATCACTGAGAGTAGCTTGTGTCCCTCGGGCTACAGAGGGTTTTTGGGCAGCATAATCATTAATCATCATGCCTCTCTTCCATGGTTATGGTAAGTGTTCTACTTGCATGACGGCGCTAAAGAGCCGGACTAAAGTGGTATGATTTGGCGCGGCAGATGGCGCAGCGCTCCATCGGTATATGTACATAATTTAATGCATTACGCAGCACATCACTAATATTGCAAGTAGGTAAAACAGTCTCGCGAAAATATGTGCAATATTATCACTGGCAATAATCTCATGTTTTTCGAAAAATGATATACCCTTTAAATAAAATATGTTAGCTTTCATTTGAAAATAAACGGTATTTGTTTTAACTATCAATAAGTATCTTGTTTATTTATTATTATTTTTAACGATACCTCCACAAATTGAACGCATTACGCAGCAGTCAGAACATCACTAATGTTTAGTCGCCATTTTGTTTATATGGTGAATTATTTGTCATCCATGATGGTGAAGTAGTAGTTGCGATCTGTGCTTCAAATCTTTTATGACTTTAGTTTGTTATTCGATTTGCCTAACATGATTTCTAAGTGAATGTTGGGTATATTATTTCCAATAGTGTTTTGTTTTACATAACACTTGATGTACAAGTTAGCATAGATGTTGCTAACTGTTTAAGCCCAGTTGGCTATGGTTATAAACTGTATTATTTCGAGAAGGCGTTGGCGCTCGAGATTCGAGAATATAGCAAGTAAATGCAGGTTATACAGACAGGTGAGAAATTAAATTATTAATTTTGTAAGGTATATTTAGAGAATACGCGGAAAACCTGTCAAACACAAGGTTGCATGTGGCACAAGACTTACCTTCTTTCTAAAGTTTTAAAGATCATGAATGTATTAATTTTCAGATGAAAATAGTTGCAAAAGAGTCGGAGTGGAAGAACACTTGATAAAATTTAGGCCGTCGCCAAATTTCAAAAATATGAAAAAATTTATAAAATCCAAAATAGATCATAGCGAGATAACTTATCGTGCTACACCGAGTGCTGCGCCCGATCCACCGCCGCCTCCCAACATAAGCAGAGCACAAAAAGTGAAGCCCGAGGTGCAACCACCCTTGCCCTTGGACCCACCTCCTGTGGATACACCTTTAAATTTAAATATACAAGTAAAACAAGAAATTGAGGATCTGGATTATCATATGTGTGATAAGTCACCAGAAATAGAAGCAGGAACCTCCCAAGGGAGTAAGAATACCCAAGAAAACAAAGAAAAATCTAAAATGCCCATATGTCGAGATTTCATAAGAGGCACATGTAAAAGGCAGGGAACATGTAGATTTGCTCATAAATATGATGTTTCACAACTAGTAGGAGTGTATACATTCTGCCATAAGTATCAAAATTCTGTATGTACTTATGCGAATTGCAAATATGTTCATGCAAGTGTATTTGAGGAGCGTAATTTTTATCGAACAGGCATTTTGCCACCGCATGCACTGGCACACCACAGGAAAGTTAATGTATTGCAACCACCACCACCACCACCTCCGCCACCTGAAGGTTTGTTATTATCTTCAAACTAAGGAATAATTTAGATGGAGTGTTGTAGAAATAAATATGGAGTCAAGCAAAAGTGTCTTATGTATTGGTAGAGTTAACAAGTGTTGATAAAATCCCCTGAATAATTAATAATGAGTTTTATAAATTAAATTTTGTTGTTATCTTAAAATTGATTTCATATAATATAATTAAAAAAATATAACAAAAATCTGTGTTACCCATATAAATAATAAATCTAATGAACAAACAGTATACTTGGAATATTAATACAATAATATGTTCATAAATAAATAAATATAAATAAACAATAATATGTAATGGATTTATTTTTAAGCTATTAAAGTGAACAGAAGTAGCTAATAACTAAAAATGCAAAATATATAGAGATAAAGTATTAGACTTATTAATTTATATTATTATTTATATTTTCTTCTCAAGAACTGTGCATTTATTGGAATTAGTAGCATTAACAGCAAAATAATGTTATTTCTTGGGTATTCTTACTCCCTTGGGAGGTTTGTGCTAGTAGGTTTAGTTTTGAAATGTTTCTTTGCGGACTCCATCTATATAATTCTTTAGTCTGAGTTATCATTGCAGTTCATGATATTATTTAACCAACATTTCTCCTAATAAATGAAATATCAATGGAATTTAAAGCAGCTGGTGATTATAGCAGATGTTGCAATATTAAAGATGGTGGCGATTACTTGGTATCATTGGCTCAAATGCTGTATAATTTTTCATAAAATATTATGGTTTTTTAGAAAATGACCTACATTTATTTAATATTTGAATGTGAATAAGCTCTTCTGCTTGCTATTATTACAAAATTAATTGTATTCCTACTAATAAGTCAATAAACACTCCCTAGTTCCTACATTTGGGAATCTTATAAAATTATATATTTCATTATTAATATAATAATCCTTAAAGTCACCAACAAATTCATTGCATTTACTCTTTTTAAATTTTAAATTATTATTACTGCTACTTAATTTAGATGGCTATATATTTTTGCAGGTTGCAGGGTGTACATATGATTGTTATATTATAAGTTTATTTTCTATTTCCAGCACCCCCGACAGATGTGGCTGCTGTTACATTTTCAAACCCTCCACCACCAATACCTAATGAGTGAGTATTCAACAATTTTCTTACAATATATATTTTGAGCTTTATTTGGCTTGACATTAATTAACTGAAAGCCATTGCAACCATTTTAAGTTGTCTTCCAGTCAACTCAATGGAAAACAGAAGTTTCCCCGATCTTCTGCCGTTAAGAAGTACATCCCCCCTAAAGCGGTCATGGAAAACCATCGAAGAGTGTGAGTGTATACAACATATTATATAGCATGTTTATAATTCAACACATTTACCTTTTAATAACACCTTTCACGTTTATAGAGTTGCTATGCAACAAAACTTAGCAATTAATATATTATGACCTAAGACGATTATTTCTCTAAAAGAATCCAATTGACTTTCAAAACAAATACAAAGCTGCCTTAAAACTAGAAAATACTGTAAGGTAATAAAAAAATATATAACTATTATAAAAAAATTGAGATATAGGAATTGTTACTGGGTACTTACAATATGCTAAAATTGTGGATATACAACAATTTTTGCAGTACGACGTAAGACAATTCACCCTTATATATTACTTAGAATTTAATTTACACTAAGTTTATATTTATAATTTGATGTGCAAAAGAATCTAATTATTGAATCAGTCATAACTTACATTTAATAAATTGAGAAATGCTGCTTTAATTTTCAATCTACCCTCAAATGCATTTTATTCTGCAGTCGGCAGCTCGTGTGAGATCGACGTTAAGAAACAGTCGTCGAAAAAATGCAAACATTGCGATGTCATGGAGTTCAGGTTTGATTATACTCCTTTATATTTGTATTTTCTATATTATTTAGCAATAATATGATTATTTTATATTTTATTGGCATATGCAATATGTAAATTATTTTTGCATGGTAAATAAATATTTATGTTACAAATGTTTATTGCCTCTGGCAACGCTTGATTTAATTTGAACTATTGAATGTGTGTGAAAATGTTTGTGTGTTTATTTATGTATTGATAAAATTATTTGAATTTAATAGTATGTATAGTTATCGGCACGAAATATGAAAAAAATAGTACACTTTTTAATTTTGACCAATGTTTTAAACGAACTAATATTCTAAATGTAATTTGATGACTCTACTCATGCTACACATCAAAAAGAATATCTAAATCTGACCAATCGGTGACCATTTCACAATTTATCGGATTTTATTATCTAGTGATACAATGATTCACAATATCACTGAATGTGCTTAGGGAAATTATAATATACCTAAAATGTGCTCGTGATATTGTAAGAAAAAGAGGCGATTAACAGTACTCCGGGTAATTATAATTTCGCTATAGTTCATTCGCATTAAGAAAATAGTGAGTCATCGATGTCCTCCGGCCTAGCCACGCCTCCCCCGACCCATTAGGTTGCTTAAAATTATTAAGGCAAGTTCACAATGACCAGTTGAATGCAGACTTAAATATATTATTAATGACTTTATTTTGATTTGAAATAATTATGTTCATTAATTATCTTATATCAAAACAAAGCCATTAGTACTATTGGATGACTTTATTTTGTTCACTCTGCTATCAGAGAAGTACCAGGAGCAACCCACATGGTAAACCCCCCCCATACAGGGCACACCCCAATAACCAAGGGGTTGCTCCACAGTCCACTCTGCTATCAGAGAAGTACCAGGAGCAACCCACATGGTAAACCCCCCCCATACAGGGCACACCCCAATAACCAAGGGGTTGCTCCACAGTCCACTCTGCTATCAGAGAAGTACCAGGAGCAACCCACATGGTAAACCCCCCCCATACAGGGCACACCCCAATAACCAAGGGGTTGCTCCACAGTCCACTCTGCAATCAGAGAAGTACCAGGAGCAACCCACATGGTAAACCCCCCCCCATACAGGGCACACCCCAATAACCAAGGGGTTGCTCCACAGTCCACTCTGCTATCAGAGAAGTACCAGGAGCAACCCACATGGTAAACCCCCCCCATACAGGGCACACCCCAATAACCAAGGGGTTGCTCCACAGTCCACTCTGCAATCAGAGAAGTACCAGGAGCAACCCACATGGTAAACCCCCCCCATACAGGGCACACCCCAATAACCAAGGGGTTGCTCCACAGTCCACTCTGCTATCAGAGAAGTACCAGGAGCAACCCACATGGTAAACCCCCCCCATACAGGGCACACCCCAATAACCAAGGGGTTGCTCCACAGTCCACTCTGCTATCAGAGAAGTACCAGGAGCAACCCACATGGTAAACCCCCCCCATACAGGGCACACCCCAATAACCAAGGGGTTGCTCCACAGTCCACTCTGCTATCAGAGAAGTACCAGGAGCAACCCACATGGTAAACCCCCCCCATACAGGGCACACCCCAATAACCAAGGGGTTGCTCCACAGTCCACTCTGCAATCAGAGAAGTACCAGGAGCAACCCACATGGTAAACCCCCTCCATACAGGGCACACCCCAATAACCTAGGGGTTGCTCCACAGTCCACTCTGCTATCAGAGAAGTACCAGGAGCAACCCACATGGTAAACCCCCCCCATACAGGGCACACCCCAATAACCAAGGGGTTGCTCCACAGTCCACTCTGCAATCAGAGAAGTACCAGGAGCAACCCACATGGTACACCCACAGAGGGCACACTAAACACACACCGGAGAAAGTATGAAGTAGCTATGCGACGGAATTTCGCTCCGCGTTTTTTCTTTTTCAAATAATCAGACCTGTTTACGAGAGTATTGAGAAAGAAAGAATTTAAACTCTAAACGATTCAACTTCGTGCTGATATTTACTGTATTTTCAATCATACATGGTTTCTGTTAATAATAATGCAAGTCATTTCAAACATATACACAAAATAGTACAGCACGGACCGTGTGAAAGCGCCATATTAATGCTACATCAGTGTACATGGAAACAATGTATGTGTGAAGAGACGTTAAGTTTTATAAAAATCTTTTAAGATTGAACGTTGTACGAGGTTTTTCTATAATATATATATATAATATTTATAATGCAAATAAAATGAAATAAATGTTGTTAGTTTGCTCGTTATTAGATCGTTATAAATGTTTAAAAATTACATAACATACTAGTGACTCACCTTCTTCGTCTCTAGGTACGTTTTAACCGTTAGTATGGAATAGATAATTTATATTATGTTATATATTATACATAGGTATGATGAGTTGTTGTGGGTTGTATTATAACGTGTTTTCCCGTGGGAAAGAGATAATCTAACGCGGTAAAAAGTAGCCTATGTCAATCTCCAGCTCTCTATCTCCACAAAAATCACGCGAATCCGTTACTCTGTTTCGACATGAAAGAAGGACAAACAAACAAACACACATTCACATTTATAATATAAGTATTATGAAATCGATATCGCTGATAGAAAACTATAAATAACATTTATTACATATTATCGTTGTTTCAGTGCTTATTTCTCCAAAGGACCAATTATCGAAAGAGTTTTTATTACGTAATTATTCACCTTTAAATGTAAATTATATTGAATTATATTTTATACACATTTACTTGAAAAAATGAAAAGATATATTATCTATATAATTGTATATAAAACTTTGAAATAAACCTTTGTTTTTGAAATAGAGGAAAAGAACTACTGTAAAATACAACAAGTATTGGTAGTTTGAACAAATAAGCACTGAGTCGACGTCATCATCTCATATAATATTAAAGCCTTGAGCAGTTTCCTCCACGCCCTCAGGCTGCAGTACAACAAGGACAAGGTGGAGAAGATGCTGCATTCGAAGCAGGAACTGGATAAGAAGATGGCTCTCTTGGACAAGAAAACCGACAAACTCTATTCCATCCTATTAGCACTGCTCAAACCAACGGTGAGTTGTTGAATGAACTAAGAGTAATATCACAGTCTTGTTATCCATCCAGTCGTCTAACGAAAGCTATATGTATACTAGCGACTCACCCTCGCTTCGCTCGGGTTCGTCCCTAAGTACCTACGTTTTAATTTTTTTGAGCGGAACCCTAATTCTTTTTCTAAAATAAAAGTGGCCTATGTTGCTCCCTATAATATCAGCTATCTTGCAGTGAAAGTCCCATCAAAATCAGTCCAGCCGTTTCAGGAAGAGAGAGACAGAGAAACAGACAGATAAAAATTATAAAAATTGTGTTTTTCTTATAAGTACCGTATATAATTTCATAAGCATTTAGTAAAACGCTGTTATTTTGACATTAAAAACAGACACTTCAATTTTATTTATCTGTATAGATAATATTTATTATAATACTAGCATTGCCCGCGGCTCCGTTCGCATTCAGATGACCAAATACTAAATTCTTAAGTTTTACATATTAGTATACTCTTACATTGCAGTTTTTGTATTTTTTCTCAGAAATGAGACATTTTCCTGCAGTAAAAAGTATCCTATATGTTGACCCGGATAACCAGCTATCGTCATACCAAACTTTATCCAAATCCCTCCAGTTTGTTTTTCCGTGAACAGACAGACAGACAAAAATTCTAAAAACTAGATTCGGCCTCTATATCGATAATAAATAAATAAATATTTCAATAAGATTTTCCAAAAAATATTTAATGTTGGCATAGTTGCAATTTTATTATATGTATAGTTTACGGATGGTCTCGGAAAGACTTGGACTTAACAGAAAAGTATCGTACCCGTAGCTAATAAATCCTCAGATAATATAAGTTTCTATTGGTGAAGGCCGTATGAAAAAGATGTGTTCCCACATAGCAAATACTACAAGTACTACTCAGACTAAGGTATAATATAGGCAGAGTGTCATAGAACTAAACATGAAGCCTTTAAATTTATATATAATGTTTTAAAACTGAATACACATATTAATATGATATTCATATAAAAATAATGTTATGACTCAAAATTATTTTTAAATGTTTTATTTCTGTTTATTTTTCCAGTTCTCGTCCAAACCTCAGAGTCACGCGAACAGCTTGACTTCGATGAACCGTGATAACAAAGAGATGGTGAGTCAGTGAATGTGTCGTATTTATAACGTGTTACGGCTGTATGTCTGGAGTGTGGGAGAAATTTAAAAGCAACTCCAATAGAATATTATTTACACCAGTTTAATGTGTAAATCTAATAATATTACTGACAGATATATAAACTAAACTTTCCCTTCTTCCCTTAAACGAGCGAAACGAAACAACATTAAAAAAACTCTTTTAGTTTTTCGCCACATACATATGTACGCGGGCGGTGGCGGCGCCATCTCTTGGCTTTTGTTGCTAACAGTACCCTGTGTGTTACTCCATGTCATAATTTGTCTGTGCTACTATATTTTCTCCAAATCCGTTCAGCTAGATCATTTTTAAGCAATAACAAACACACATACATACATACATAAGTTATACACATATGTATGTATATACATACACTCGGTCAAACTTTATAATAACTTGTTTTTTTTTTTAAGTGGACCTAATACTTTTTCTTAAATGAAAGTAGCCTAAATTACTCCTTACATCTGCCAGTGAAAGTTACTATAAGCAATTAAAGTATAAGAATAAACAATTAACATTTTTGTATGCCTATTTGTTACGGCAAATCTCCAAAACAGCTGAAGCAATTTTGATGGAACTTTCACTGGCAGATAGCTGGTGTTATAAAGAGTAAGTTAGGCTACTTTTGAGGATATTATTATTAGTAATTATCGTATAACGTGTCCACACAGACGCGCCACGGCTGTCCGCGCTCGGGGAGCACAAGTAGCATTTAAGGTGACTCGCACATCACATACACACTGCTCGTTAGATAATAATGTGTATGCAATACAAGTCTAAACCTACAAACAGCAATGTTGTAACTCAGTATTGAGATTTAAAAATAGTCATATGTCTCATAAATTTCATGAATTGTTCCTCGCAAGTATGACAATATTAAAGATCAATATATTTAAAAACAAATCACACTCTCGATTAACTATAATGTGTAAGTCTCCTTAAAAATAGTTGAACGAGTCCCAAATTCGTGGGTCTTGTGACCATTAGAAATTAAAATAATAATAAAGAAATAATAGTAAAAAAAACTAAATGTGCAATTCACACATCGTAGAAGTGAAACTTCAGAAAATGATATGAATATAGAGTATCAGGAGTAGGATAATCATAAGGATTTTTTTATATAATTTTTACCAAGTTTAAAAGTTAGTTATTTTACATTTTATTTGACATAAATATAAACATTACATAATAATCAGTAATGAATTTTATTATTTTTCACTTCCTGTGTAATGTATTCTATCAAATAACAACGGTTACCATGACAACGGTTACCATGGCATCATCGCAATGTATTCTATCTCATTCTATCGCCGGCTTAATCCTATATATTTATATGTTTGTCTCTTTTTACTGTCGCATTTCCGTTGCATCGAGTTTCAAATCACAACGATTTTAAAGAAGTTTCACTTCAATAATGTTAATTACCATCCATACAAAGTTTCAAATCGATACAACGATTGGTCGATTAGAATCGATCAAAATCGATATAAGACTGTTTCCATCGCGAATTACACTAAAATCTGTTGAGCCATTATGTCTTGAAGAAGTAGAAACGCTCCTTTGCTCACAAATGTTCATATGTAATATTAGTATAATGTGACTATAGAATTATCTGGATTACTTAAAATACTTGAATCATGACCAAAAACTCTTTATTTGTTAAATCATTGCATATATTGTGTATGTCTAAATGAGTATGTATTACATTTAATTTATATATACTATAATCTATATACTAATACTAATATATCTATACTAATATTATAAAGAGGTAAAGTTTGTGATCTTGTGAGTTTGTGACGTTGTAGGGGGTAATCTCTGGATCTACTGAACCGATTTTCAAAATTCTTTTACCAATAGAAAGCCACGTTCTTTCTGAGTGTCATAGGCTATATATTAACCCGAAAAATGAAAAGGCTTTTTCGTGGTAGTCGGATTTGCAAAGTAAGTCGGAGAAAAAACGGTCGAACGAAAACGTTTCTTACGAACGCTGCCTTAACGATGAGAGATATATGATTATGTTCTAGAGAAAAGTTGTAGAGCTTAATAATGCCTACAAAAAAGTCAGCGACAGCATATGTCTAACTTTTATATTTAAGTCACAAAAAGTAGCTTTTTATAATAAAAAAATCATTTAAATCGGTAGGTCATGTTTATTGGTCATATTATCAACAATTATGAATTCTTATCAAAATAAGTAAATTTATCGTCTAAAATGTTTAAAATAAAAGACTTTTCCCTTTTACTGCATATAATTTGGACAAATGGTTAAAGAGATAATACAACATATTCGTAGGTATGGACGAACCCGAGCGAGCTGTTTATCTGTTTTTCTCTTTGTACGGGCTAATCTCCGGATCTATTGGACCTATTTAAATGAAATTTTGGATGGTGGTACCTTATATCCCCGGGCAATATCTTAGAAACTTTTCATCCCGGAAAATTAAAGAGTTCCCGTGGGATAGTTAAAAAACTATAACAACTTATACAGCTTAGTACACAAAAACTACTGATTGGATTTTAATGAAACTTTACAATAATATAGTTCATACATGACAAAACAAATCAGCTACTTTTGATCCCGGAAAATTAAAGAGTTTCCGTGGGATAGTCAAAAAACTATAGTAACTTATACAGCTTAGTACACAAAAACCACTGATTGGATTTTGATGAAACTTTACAATAATATAGTTCATACATCAGAATAACAAATAGGTAACTGTGTATCCCGGAATAATGTACTTTTCCGTGGGATAGATGTTTTTGTTTATTTGTAACGTATTATGTACACAACATAGACCCCAAAACAATAGTTATTAAAAAAAATGCCTGTTTATCTGTTTGCCTGTTTGTCTATTTTTGTGTGTGCGTTTCACGCGAAAAGTAATGTACCAATTTCAACGAAATTTGGTGAAGTGATAACTTATTACTCGAGTCAACATTTAGGGTACCTTTTGTTTGTATGTATGTATGTATGTATGTATGTATGTTGTATTCAGCCCTTCTTAACACATGCGCGGGCCTCCCTTCAGTACGAGGTAGATCAGGCCATAGTCCACCACGCTGGCCAAGTGCGGGTTGGTGGACTTCACATGTCTTTCGAAAACTTGCTATGTTCTGTCAGATATGCAGGTTTTCCTTCACCGTTAAGACAAGTGGTAACTGTGTTAGAAATGATTCGCACATGAAAATATCAGAGGTGCGAGACCCGGGATTTGAACTTGCTTCTCTCGGTTTCCCAAGCGAGCGCGTTAGCACTGGGATACCACTGCCTAGATACCTTTTACTTAAAGAAAATCTTTCTTTCCCACGGGAAAATGCAAAAACTGGTTTTATCGATCCTATATAATATGGTTTTATCCCTAGAAACCTTCCGCTGGCTGAGTGAGCCTTAAAACATACATACATTGAAACAATATACTAAAAAATTGTTGGTCTTGAAAAGTCCTACAGAAAAGTGCCGAATTGTATATGTCTATCTCCTAATTTACACTCGCAATATTTATTCTTATTTATACGTATAATAAAACTAACTTAGGCAAATCGATGTGCGTGTTTCAAACAAAAAGTACTTAACCGATTTTAACTAAATTTTGTATAGTAATAAGACTTAGTACTCGGGTCAATATTTAGGAAACCTTTTACGACAGGCAAATTATTCATTCCCACGGGAAAACACAATAACTGGTTCTATCGAATCGTCCTTAGAAATTTATATGGTTAACGTTGGCTCAACCTTAAGATTAAGATTGGCATGCTGATACCTTATATTGCCGATCAAACAATAGGTTACTTTTCGTCCGGAAAATTCATCATTCCGGAAAAATGAACGGTTCCCGTGGGATAGATCTGTTTGTGCTTTTCTAGAGGTGAACCCGAGCGAAGCGAGGGTGAGCCGCTAGTGTACTAATAAAGACGCAAAGTTTGTGAGTTTGTGACGTTGCAGGGGGTAATCTCTGGATCTACTGAACCGATTTAGATGAAATTTAGTAAGAAGATAGTTTGAGACCCTGGAAAGGACATAGGATACTTTTTATTTCGGAAATCATCCCTTAAAGGGGTGAAAATAGGGATAAAAGTATTGAGAAGCAAGCCAGGGACGAACCCGAGCGAAGCGACGATAAGTTGCTAGTACTTAATATAATATAATTCTTACTTTCCAGGATTGAGAGGCGCGAGAGCATTGTTTGGGAATCCAGATGACAAGAGATCTGTCCTTCACACACACACAAACACACACACACAAACACACACACACACAACACACACACACACAACACACAACACAACACAAACATACACACACAACACAAACACACACACACACACAACACACACACACACACAACACAAACACACATACAAACAAACAAATATGGACAGACAAACGCTCGCGACTCGTGAAGACTTTAAATGAATACTAGTGCAGTGAGAGAGTGGAAGTGCAAGTGGAATACAATATGACGCGATTTAAACAGGAAGGATTTGTTTGCCAATAGTTGTACTTTTGGTGTATCGTGTGACCGCCGCCTCGTGTGCGAGTGTCCCGAGGCATACATTTACACATCGATCATATAAGTACTAGATACACAATCCGATGCGAAAGTTCTCTTAAAACTGTCACCGATTATGTTTAGGTAATATTCGGTTCGGCGGTTACACTGTAGTGCTATGTGTTGTATTGTATATATAACATGATACACCGACTGCAGAGCGTATCTCCAAGAAGATGAAACACCAGCTCACATTCTGACTGAATGCAGTGCACTGGAACAATTACGCGAAGAAAAACTCAGCCCCAAAAGATGGATCCCAGAAATCTTCCAGGACACCGGCAGCCTGCTAGACTACTGGGACGCTCTGGGATGGAAAGAATAACACACAGCAGCACAAGCTCACGCACAACGGGCAAAGATGCCTGTAGGTGATTTATAATATATTTAATATATAAATATGATAAATTAAATATATTATAATATATGTCACCTACAATGCCTAAGTGCGGAAAAAGCCGTGACTGAAGAAGAAGATACACCGTCTTCAAAATTGTTGATATTTATTCCACTCCCAGCGGTGGAATTTTGTTTCTGAGGTATAATTTATTCATTAACAAAACAGTTACTAAAATAGTGTACTCTTGTGTTCATGCCTTCTACTAGTAATGTTATAAATATATATAATCTTAATATTAATAAAGAAGTCTTACGTCGACACTCAAGCATTTCATTACTCTCTTTCTTACAATAGTGTACAATAGTGTACAATAGTGTGTGTAGTAGTGTGTATATAAGATATCAACCTCGTGTTTTTGAACTCGGTTAGTAGTACAGAGACTGTGTATTTGTTATTACAAGTTTAGATTCATTAAGAGTAATATATAATTAGCTATTAAAAATAATTTATTGCCCAATTCAATACTTGGAGGTCGACTGAAAACTGGAATTTGCCATCTTTAGATAAAGTTATAATCTGACCGAGTAAACATTTTAATGTTTCAAACATATGTCTAAAGATTATGTACGTTTTAATTTGTCTGTGTTATACTAATGATTGAAAAGTCGATCTATACATATAAATAAAATTGAAGTGTCTGTTTGTAATATCGAAATAACAGCTTTTTACTAAATGCGTATGAAATTATATACGGTACTTAAAGAAATACAACTGTTAAATTTTTTTTTGTCTGTCTGTTTGTTCCGGCTTATCTCGAAAACGGCTGGATTGATTTTGACGACATTTTCACTGGCAGATAGCTGATGTTTTAAGGAGTAACTTAGGCTAGTATTATTTAAAAAAAAGAATTGGGGTACCTACCGTGCAGAAAAAATTAAAACCCCAAAATATATTGTAGAAATAACAAGAAAAGATGAGTAACGTTAATAATTTAAAAGAAAAAATATATATAAATAAATATCGTGCTATTTAATTCATCTATTTATTTTATGCTCTGTAAATTCTACCGTTTTGACATTCGCCATCTTATCTTGAGTACGTAATACTAGCGATTTATACATCAGTTGAAGTAGTAGCCTAAAACCTGTGACCTAGGTCATAGCCCAAAGCTGCCTCGCTGTACGTCGTCTCAGTGCTTATTTGTCCAAACGATCAATTCACTCAGAATTTTTAATACAGAATTATTATATGTCAATTCGATTAGTACTAAATACATATTTTACAACGGAAATAAATATTTTATAAATATTACTACCTCTATATAATATGCTTGTTAAAACGCTTTATTTAGAAGCAATCATAAAGTAAATAATATTGTGTATATCCATACCGTGTAGTATTAAATGATCTGAGTCTATACCTCCATACATATAATAAAATTGTAACTAAGCCGAATCTGTACATTAAATATTTTTTGGAAAATCAGAGGCTGAATCTATAGTTTTTAGAATTTTTGTCCGTCTGTCTGTGTGTCGGTCTGTCTGTCTGTTATCGCATCACAGAAAAACCACTGAATGGATTTTGATGAAATTCGGTATGGTGATAGCTGGTTATCCGGGTCAACATATAGGATACTTTTTACCGCGGGAAAATGTCTCATTTCTAAGAAAAAGTACAAAAACTGAAATGTAAGAGTATACTAATATGTAAAACTTAAGTATTTGGTTTTTGGGTCATTTGAACGCGGGCGGAGCTGCGGGCAATGCTAGTCTTATATATAAAATTTCCATGTCACAATGTTAGTTACCGTACTCCTCCGAAACGGCTTTACCGATTTTTACCAAATTTTATATGCGTATTCAGTAGGTCTGAGAATCGGCTACTATCTATTTTCCATACCCCTAAGTGATAAGGATAAGGGTGGTCCTCCCAGATCCCACCCCAGGGACGAACCCGAGCGGAGCGAGGGTGAGTCGCTAGTATAATTATAAATGTGAAAATGTGTTTGTTTATCATTCTTTCACGTCGAAACAGAGTGATTAATTTGTAGTTTTTTTTTGTAGCTCCGAGGCAATTTCGAGATAATCGCGTTTGTTTGATCCCTTGCTGTATTGTTATTACTGAAACTTTAATTATGCAATTAATAATATTAATTATCTAGGAAGAAGGAAACTATAAGTAGTCTGGTTTCTCTAAAGTGTACGATTTAAAGAATAAACTTTTGGGATTTATTCTATAAATTGTACACTATAGAGAAACACGATTACCTACCTTCTTTATAAGACAGTCGGATAATCATCGCCATCTTAAGTATTAATTTTAACTACTTGATTAATTATATTTAAAGAAAACTATTTATACTGATGTTATTTTTTTAGATTACTTCTTGAGTAAATGAAAGGGTGGATGCAATACCTGGCACGATGTTAGATCCGCGTACTTTGTTACGTCGCGTTTCTGCACCAAACACGTACACTAACTCTGTTTGATTTGTAAGAGTTAGTTAGTTTGAACATTCACTGCGTTTCGCACGATAACTGTTATTATACCAAGTTTTAACAGGGAGCATTCGGAGCTCGACCCATCGCCGTACGTGGCCGTTGCAGAAGTTTTTTTGAACTACCCCCAGTTTTGGGATATTATGAAATTATATGAGATACGTTCAGTAATCTAACAATATTGATAAATGTAAGTTTTTAATATGCCAATACAAAGTAATAAATAATTTAACGACTTGTGTAATGTTCTTGTGTAGCTTAAATGTTATTTTAGTTTATATACATACATGATTATTATTAACATTTTTTTGCAATCCATTTAATTTTTAAATTACTTCTTTATTTCGTATTTTTATTTTAAAATAAAAACTGAAATAGTGTTTTTTGGATTAAATAATTTAAGAAAATACCTCAAGTTTTGATACTTTAATACCACAAAACGTAGCTCGTGTCAATAACCTACGCCGTTACACTATCATGTATTAGTCTTTATCATAAAAACTACTGAACCGAATTAAATGAAACCTTTACTGTTCGCTAAGTTGAAGTAAACATAAGTAAATAAAAAAAGAATGGTCACAATCCGATTATTAGTTTAGAGAAAACGAGTGGACAGACATACATACCTAAAACATTTTGTATATTTGCTTTACCCTTACCTTTTAGCCCTAATAAATAATAAATTGATTATATTACATAGGTGAATATTTTGCATTATTAGCATTTATTGCCTTTATTAATCTACAAACAGGTAAAACAATTTTTCCAGTTTAGACTTTGATGTTTTTAACCGACTTCCAAACAACATATGTATGTTTTTTATGTATGTTCACCAATTTCTTGGAGATGCCTTGACCGATTTTGCTACTTTAAACGGTATTTTATTACAGAAGTCTCGAGGTAGTCCCATAACATTTTCTTTGACATAGATATATAGCATTTTCGAGGAAATCATGAAGAACCATAAAAATTTCAAGTGTGTTAACAGATTTAATTAGACTTTTTTACCTAGGTACTTTTAATTTTCATAACGATTTGAAACTTTACTAGTGTTTGTAATTCGGATGACTATAGGATCCAATTTGATATTTTGGAGCATAACTAATGGTGAGGCCAGAAGATGGTTAGTGGAACTCTTTAACGGATCATAGTAAATAGTTTGATTTGGGCTTATTTGGTTTGATTTAATAAGCCCAATACGATAAAATTAGGTTTTAGTGTTGCTAATAAAAGTGACTTTTTTTATTTATATAGAATTTGGCAGTAGGTATATACGAAGATAAAAGACCTAATCGAATATGTTATTAAAAATCTTTCTAAAAAATTACCTCTTTATTACATCTAGGTACACTAAAAATGAAAAAATAACTTAAAAAAAAAACAAAAATCGACTTTCAGACACTAAAAAGTAAAATATAACTGAACGGGAGTTTTCATTTAGCATAGATATCTAATCAGATAATTTTAAAGTCTGTGCCAGCTGATGCAAAGTTTATAAAAAACAAACTTAAAAAGTTAAAATTAAGATTATATTGCGCATTAATATGCAGTCCATAGAGTATATTGCTACATATATAAAATGCAGTCGTTGTCACGTTGACATATAAAGCACGTAGCAACACTCGCAACAAATAAGATGTATTCGTATGTAATATGTATAGATAAAATATAATACCATGCGTATCGTTCAAAGTGCAATTAGATAAGCTTTTTGTTTTTATACTGTTTGATTGAACGTATTCAATATGTCGGTTTACGGTAAATTCGGGCCTTTAGTAGGTGCTATAGACGAGGGCACGTCGAGTGCTAGGTTTATAATATTCAAAGCGAACTCCTGTGAAGTAGTCGCAGTGCACCAGAAAGAACTGGAACAGATATTCCCTCAAGAAGGATGGGTAGAACAGGATCCTGCCGCGATTTTAGATGTAGTGACCACTTGCATAACAAAGGCTGTGGAGCAGTTAGTGGACTTAGGAGGATCTCCAAAGGTTTGTAATGATTTTTTCAAGTTATATGTCATATGAGTCTTATGAGTGTGTATACATTCGTCAGTCAATTTGTGAATATGATCTAATTTGTAGGCAACTAATAATATGCAGTCAATATCTAGAAAGAAACAGCTAATGAATTTTTTAAAATTGTTATTGTATGTGTATTAATTTATTACTATTTACCAAAAGAAGATCTTATGAAATTAAATACAAACTGTATTATTATGTGTTTACGGATAACCTCACAACATGTAACTTTATTATATATTATACAGGATATTATAGCAGTGGGGGTGACAAACCAGAGAGAAACTACAATAGTATGGGATAGGAATACTGGGAAACCCTTACATAATGCTATTGTATGGCTTGATATGAGGACATCATCTACTGTAGATAAATTACTCGACATGGTGCCAAATAAGACAAGAAATAAAAATTATTTGAAGGTAAGACTGATTTAGAAATTTCACTTTAAATAATTGTTAATCATATTCAGTGCTTTGATTGTAGTGGGTTATTTTATTAATATATTAATTTGTAACTTAAATTAGTCCATAATTGTGATATCATTTTGGAATTATTATTTTATATTTATACCAAAGTAGCGACCCGTCCCAGCTTCCTATGGGTAGCACTAATTATGTTGATCTGATTGCTATCAAACTTTATAAGATCGCCTGCTGGGCTGGATCTGGAGATTGTCTGAAAATTTTACTAAAATAGCTCCAGCTGTTTTAAAGTCCACAGGGAACACAAATGCATAGCTTTTTATATATAATTAACTAAAAATCCTATAAACCGATTTAGATGAAATTTGATATGAAGATAGTTTGAGACTCTGGGACGGACATAAGATAGTTTTATCCCAGAAATCAACTTTTAAGGGGATGAAAAGGATGAAGGGGCAAATACAAACTTAAGAAAATCACTTGTATATGAGTGAGGTTGTTTTCTTTATGTATACATATGTAGATAGATAGAAGATGAACGTTACTAATGTTATTAGACAGGCGATGGATGCATTTTATTCAAATAATAAAGCAAATTCCTGCTGTACATATGCATGATCCATTTTTGTATGTTTAGTTTTGGTATTGAATTCTTAAGAAACCAATAATTATCTTATATATAAAATTCTTGTGTCACAGTGATTTTAACAAAACTCCTCCGAAACAGCTTGACCGATTCTTATGAAATTCTGTGTGTGTATTCCATAGGTCTGAGAATAGGACGTAAATTATTTTTCATACCCCTAAGTGATAAGGGTGGTCCACCCCACAATTTTTATTCTTTATATTTTGGACACAATTATTTATTTTAATTTTTTTATAATTTGGTATTAAAAATATGTATATAAAAGTAAATTTTTACTAGTCGCTAGTTTTTACGTAATTAGCAATTAATCAAGTGTCATTTAGTAACGAGTTACCATTTACGATACATATAAAGATAATGACGATTATAATTACCAGTAATTCTGCAAACATAATTACATGATTTAAAGATTAAGGTCTTTAAATATGGGGATTAGTATGAGTGATATGCGTTTTTTAATATAATGGTAACTAGGTAATTATAAAAGCTACACAATGTCTATACATATCTGGTATCTGGTATCCGTAACACAAGCCTCGTAGCTTACTATGAAACTAGATGGTGCTGTGTGTTAATGTCTCAACATATTTATTACTAGCATTGAACGCGAAAAAAATATAAATGCTTATAACATAAATGGTAAAGCTTAATACAATGTATTAAACTTTACCATTTGTGTTATAAACATAATATTTTAATTATTATTTCAATAAAAAATAAATATAGATATACACTATACATAGCACTATAGAAACATTATTGTATCTCACCTCTCAATCTCAGAAAGATTATCCTCCATAAAAGATATTCGCTCAGGACTCTGGTATAAAATACATTAATCTAAATATTATATTATAATAAAAATCTTCAATATAATGTAAGTCAAGTCTCAATCTATACATATAATAAAACTGTAGAGGTTGAATGTCTGTACATAGAAAAAAATGCTAAAAACCGAGTCAGGGGGATCTAAGAAGAGAAATAGAACAAATCCAGATTTTTTTCATTATTTTTGTTTCTGTGGCTGTTTGTCTGTTTATTGTTTGTCTGTTTATACGGGCTAATCTCCGAAACTATTGGACCGATTTTAATGAAATTTTGCATGGTGGTACCTTATAGCCCTGGTCTACATTTTCGATACTTTTTATCCCGGAAAATTAAAGAGTTCCCTTGGGATAGTTAAAAAACTATAGTAACTTATACAGCTTAGTACACAGAAACTACTGATTGGATTTTAATGAAAATTTACAATAACATAGTTCATATATCAGTATATAATATATGTTGTATTTAATAAATATATTTCAGCCTCTATGCGGTCTTCCCATGTCGCCATACTTCAGTGCTGTGAAACTAAGGTGGCTCAGTGACAATGTGGATGCGGTGAAGCAGGCCATGAAGAAGGGGACATGTTGTTTTGGTACAGTCGATACATGGATCATATGGAATTTAACAGGTATATTAAAATAAAACTACTTTTACAGTTTTATTTATTATTTTATTTGAATCTTCAGAATATAATTTTTATTGATAATTACTATTACATACATGTGTTGTTTTTTTGGAAGTAAATCTCATAATCTTGATCTTTCTTGGACTTTTTGGCTTATTGGTCTATTCTTATTGGCTTCCTCTCATTTTTTTGTGAAGATGAAGATAAAGAGACTTTTTTTATATATAATATTAGTTTACATAAAAGTTAAGTTAGACTAAACTAAAATCTGTTTAAATCAATCAGTTCCTTTATACTATTACGTACTAGGAAGTACACAGTATTTTAACGTTTTATCCGTGCGAATTAAATAATCTACCGCGGTAAGAAGTAGCCTATGTTACTCTCCAGCCCTGCAACTATCTCCACACAAAAAACCACGCCAATCCGTCACTCCGTTTCGACGTGAAAGAAGGACAAACAAACACACTTTCATATTTATAATATTAGTATGGATATATTCCATTGTATAATTATTAATGTTCCATTAGATTTCATAATTTAATATAATTAATATCAACTTTTTCATAAATAAATTTTGAAGAAAAATTGGGATATAATGATTTTTTAAGGTGGTCCAAAAGGAGGCAAGCATGTCACTGATGTCACAAACGCTTCACGCACGATGCTGATGAACATTGAGAACTTGAAATGGGATCAATTATTGATGAAATTCTTTGAAATACCAAGCTCTGTGTTGCCAGAAATAAAATCTAGCTCCGAAGTAAGTAGTTAGTAAAAATTATTTTTTTTAAATTTGATTGTTTGCTTTTGTGTGTGCAATGTGTACTGTTGGGATATTTAGTTCCACTACCTAGCAATGAGGCATAGACAGTAAAGGTTTAAATAAAATTCTTTACTATTTCAGATATACGGCTACATATCAGAAGGGCCACTCCAAGGGATACCAATATCTGGTTGTCTCGGAGACCAGCAAGCGGCTTTAGTTGGTCAAATGTGCCTTAACAAAGGGCAGGCAAAAGCGACATATGGTACTGGATGCTTTGTACTATACAACACAGGGGATGTGAGAGTTAGTTCGTCCAGGGGACTGTTGACGACTGTGGCATATCAGTTGGGCAGTGAAAACCCCCCGTGCTATGCTTTGGAGGGGTCGGTTAGTTTTTTTTTAATGTAAATAACTATTTATATCTAATCTTTTAGTATGAAATTTATTTCGCGTATTTCGGAAATGGCTCTAACAATTTGGATCAAATTTTCTGTATACTAGATAAGGTTTTGATTTTAAAGAATAGATCGACTATATCTATATATACATAGGTGTGATGAGTTGTTGTAGTTTGTATTATAACGTGTTTTCCCGTAGGAATGAGGTAACCTCTCGCGATAAAAAGTAGCCTATATCACTCTCCAGCCCTCCAACCATCTCCACACAAAAGTCACGCCAATCCGTGACTCTGTTTCGACGTGAAAAAAGACAAACAAACATATAAATCTAGTTTAATCCCTTACAGGGATACTATGAGTACTTTAAAAAAAGCCAATCAACAAAGTGACTACCATCGGACCACAAATACATACTTCCATACTAATATTATAAATGTGAAACCGTGTTTGTTTGTTTGTTTGTTTGTTTGTTTGTTTGTTTGTCCTTCTTTCACGTTGAAACAGAGAGACACAACAACTCATCATACCTATGTATAATGTGTATATAATATATAGTCTATCTATTCCATACTAACCGTTAAAACGTACCTAGCAACAAAACTGAGCGAAGCGAGGTTGAGTCACTAGTGTTTTTATATATACATAGTTTAATAATATACATAGTTTATAATTTATTATGTATAATTTTCAGGTGGCCATAGCCGGAGCTGCTTTAGGTTGGCTCAGAGATAACATTGGTATGTTGGAAAATGCAAAAGATTCTCAAAGTATAGCAGAGAAAGCGACTGAGAATGGTAGTGTGGTATTTGTTCCGGCATTTAGTGGATTGTATGCGCCATATTGGAGGCAAGATGCTAGAGGGTGAGTTGATAGGTTTTTTGAACTATTTTTAGAAGTTACAAGTTATGTTATGACTATCTAAATGCCATAATTTTTAGGGTTCCGTACCTCAAAAGGTAAAGAAGGAACTCTTATAAGATCACTCTTGTCCGTCTGTCCGTCTATCTGTCTGTGTGTCACCACCGGTTTTCTCAGAAACGGGTGTCTATAGTCCCTATTAATGATGAAAGAGTTTGCTGAGAAGAATACGAATAAAAAATTTGCCAAAGAAAACTCGGCGGGCTATATAGTTTTTTTTATATAAAATAAAAATTGTATAATATTAGTATAGTATTCAGCTATGGACGGACGGTGGTGGTAGCCCATTGGTAGCGCGCTTGCTTGGGAAACCGAGTGAAGCGGATTCAAATCCCGGGTCTCATACCTCTGATATTTTCATGTGCGAATCATTTCCAACATGATTACCACTTGTCTTAACGGTGAAGGAAAACATCGTTAGGAAACCTGCATGTCTGAGAGAACCAAGCAAGTTTTTGAAAGACGTGATATGGTGATCTCCCACGTGTTGGATGGAGGCCCACTCCCGAGGCTGAATACACACATATAACTACTTGACATTTATATATGTACTAGCTACTCACCCTCGCTTCGTTTGGGTTCGTCCCTTGATATCTTATTATGGTTAGTATGGAATACATAGACTATCTATCTACAAATGTATAAATATACATAGCTATGATGAGTTTTATATCCCTTGAGAAATGATTGATTCCCTATACAAAGTTCCACCCTCATTTTCACCCCCTTAAGGGATGATTTCCGGGGTAAAAACTATCCTATGTCCTTCGCGTCGTCTCAAACTATCTCCATACCAAACTTCATCTAAATCGGTTCAGCGGATTAAGCGTGAAAAGGTAACAGACAGACAGACAAGAGTTACTTTCGCATTTATATATTAGTACGGATAGTATAATAATACAGAGGCATTTCATATCCACAGTGTAATCTGCGGCATAACAGAGGACACGAATTCAAATCACATAGTGAAAGCTGCGTTGGAAGCAGTTTGTTTTCAAGTGAAAGATATATTGGACGCCATGAACGAGGATTGCGGGATTCCCCTACAATTATTAAAGGTGAAACTTTAGAAATTACTATCTAGAAAAGTATAAACAGATCTATCCCACGGGAATAGTTCATTTTTCCGGGATAAAAAGTAACCTGTTGTTTGACCGGCAATATAAGGTATCAGCATGCCAAATTTTACTAAATTAGGTGCATAAGTAGTTGTGTACTAAACTGTTACTATAGTTTTTTTACTATCACACGGAAACTCTTTAATTTTCCGGGATGAAAAGTATTTAAGATGTTGACCGGAGATATAAGGTACGACCATGTAAAATTTCATTTAAATCGGTCCAACAGTTTCGGAGACAAGCCCGTACAAACAGACAGAGTAACAAAAAATTAAAAAAAAAATCTGGATTTGTTCTATTTCTCTTACATCCCCCTGACACAGTTTTTTTAGCATTTGTATGTACAGACAGAAATTCGACCCCTATAGTTTTATTATATGTATAGATAATGGTTTTGAGAAATGATAAAGGAACAAGATTTTTAGCGACTGTGATTTGTCTCATATATTTATGTATATATTTTAACTAGCGACTTTCGTTCGTCCCTAACTACTTTTACCTTTTTTTTCTGCAAGACACTAATTTTTTTTCTGTACTAATGTTATAAAGCGAAAAGATTTTTTTGTTTGTTTGTTTATTTGTTTGTTTGTACCGAATAAGCTCCGAAAGTATTGAACCGATTTTGATGAAATTTGATATGATGATAGCTATCCGTGTCAACATATAGGATCCTTTTTACTGCGAGAAAATATCTCATCTCTGAAAAAATCTATACTTACCGTTTAAAACGTAAATAACTATTATAATACAATCTCATTTAAAATTTATTAAATTAAATTAAATCTTATTTCTCATACAGGTGGATGGTGGTATGACATCAAATGAGTTACTATTGCAAATGCAAGCTGATTTAATTGGAATTAGTGTAATTAAAGCGGGTTTCACAGAAAGTACAGCTCTGGGGGCTGCTTTAGTTGCTTATTGGGGTGTAGATTCATCTAGACAAGCAACCCCTATAGCAATGTCTGTTGGAATAACTTACCCCCCCAAAATGGGGGATGATGAAAGAGATATGAGATATAAACAGTGGAAAATGGCGGTCGAAAGATCACTAGGTTGGGAGCAAAATTAATTTGTTTGTTACATTTTATATGTTATATGTAAGGGGTCTGGAAAGGGGACTGGTTTTTGTATGAAAGTTGGTATTTTTTATGACATTTGGTTTTCTGCCATTTTTTTTTAAATAATGGCGCAAATTGAGACTTGTATTAATGGATAGAGGGTACTTTAGAAAATAAATATTATTGGCTATATTGTATGCTAAGGTGTCACTTTTTCAAGATATTTTAAAGTAAATATCGCTTATAATCTATACTAATATTATAAAGAGGAAAGATTTATTTTGTTTGTTTGTTTGTTTGCACTGAATGGGCTCTGAAACAATTGAACCGATTTAGATGAAATTTTGTAAGAAGATAGTTTCAGACCCTGGGAAAGACATAGGATAGTGTTTATCCCGAAATCGTGAAAATAACCATAAAAATAGGGATGAAAGTTTGTATGGGTAAGTAACTTAGGGATGAAGTATAAATAACATAATGAATATTACTGACATATGAACTGAATGAGTTCGTTTTTTATTTAATTTTCTATGTTTCAATATGACGAATCTTTACTTTCAAATATAGTGGAAACGTGACACTTTAAGACGTTATGTCGGTGATTTTTTTTAATTATCTAAATGTATTTTATCTATAAATACATGTTTCATAGCGCGCCGTAAGTTTAGAAGAAATAAATTAATGCGTGTATGAATGTGTACACGCAAGAAGTGAAACTTCTGTAGGTTATTTATTTATTTTATTTATTTTTATTTATTATTTATTTTTTATTTATTATTATCGGTTTATTTTATTTATTATTATCGGTATATTTGATGAAATTCTATTTATGTTTTAAATAATTGGTATAGGAGAGCTTGGTTTGTTGATTTTTGTGATGAAATATTTCTGGGAGAGTCACAGAAAGTGTGACACAGCGTGAGAATAGGAGGCTAGGGGGTCAAAAAAGCTGATATTAGCGTGACGTATTTTATGAAGGGTCTCTTTGAGATATTCATATAATAGTTTAAGAAATTTTTAATTGACTATTTATTCACTTCCGTAACAAACGTTTCCGTTATAAAAATCGTAACGCTAATACTTTTTTTTCTCTCTTATGTATGGCGCGTTTAAAGAGGTTTCACTTCAAAAATCAAAATGGTATTATTGGCAACGGTATTATTGGCAATGTCATGTCTTTTATACTTTATAGGTCTATATATCAATCAAAAAGTACTAGATACACAATCCCATGCAAAAGTTCTCTTAAAACTGTCACCGATTGTGTTTAGATAATTAATCTAGTTGAAATAAATATATAACAATGTAAATTGAACCTTAGATGCAATGCTTAAATTTATTTTTACATATATTTTTTTTAAATTAAAAGCGCTCTGTTCAAATGAGCGCTCATTCGGTGAGGACAGTTTTTATAGCTGATTGTGTATCTAGTACTTTTTTGATCGATTGTTTTTGGTATTGGTGTTATAGTTAGAGCTCAACTTATGATAATTTTGATACAATGTTATACAAACACGACACAATGTAATTTAAATTGATGTTTGTTTATAATTGATACTTATACTTTTTTAGATTTACGCGAATATTTGACATTTTAAATAAAACTATCTATATTTTTCGAGTATTTATTTTTTATTTTTTGGTTCAAAAATCGAACTAAATCCGCGAAAAAATTTGTAAAGATAGTTTTATTTACAATGTTTTATTTGACTTCTATTGTTGTGACAAACAGTGCCTAAATGTAGAGAAATATAATAATAATCTTATAGTTAATTATCAATAAACGAAAAATAGTTATAAACAAATTTTCGGCCAATACATACTTTTTATTGTTATATATTTAACTACGAAATGTATATTTACATGTTGGCTTAGTTAGTTGAGTTTATATATACACATACATACATACATACATACATATTATGTAGTATGGCTTTTTGATTAGTACATTTTATCGGAAAAGATATGAAAAAAAGAACGTGTGTGTGTAATTATGTATGCACGTAAGAAGTTATACTTCTTTGGCGTTACAGAAAAAAAAAATAGCTAAAGATTTCATCCCGTATGTCACAACTCTCTGTTTGTAAAAGGAATTCAGCTAACTTTATCATGTCGCTTTTTAGCTGTCTGTGTGCGCGCGCATCGTAAAAGTCTTACTCATATTTTTTTCCACACGTGCCAAAAGAAGAATAACTCCAAAAATGAGTTTTTTTTAAAATACACCTACAATACGTATATAGATAAACTTAAAAGGTGAAACTTAAATACAAAATTTGATCCAAATCGTTAGAGCCGTTTCAGAGATACGCTAAATAAATTTTTATATATACAATAATTAAATATATACAAGATTTATATTATTTTATGCTTAAAGAGATTGTGCTTCTAACATTATATATATGGCCTTTTATGATATACTAGAATATATTTAGTCATAGAAATAGATACGCTTTATGACACACTTCTACAAACAAATAAAAAATCATATTATGTATAAACATCGATCAAAAAGTACTAGATACACAATCCCATGCAAAAGTTCTCTTAAAACTGTCACCAATTGTCTTTAGGTTGAAATAAATATACAATAATATAAACTGAACCTTAAATGCAATGCTTAAAGCTGTTTGCTCAATTTTTTTTTCAAATTAAAAGTGCGCTCAAATGTTCAAATGAGCGCTCATTCCGTGAGGTCATTTTTTATTGCTGATTGTGTATCTAGTACTTTTTTGATCGATTTGAAAGTATATAAAGCATAAATTATAATAATTATATTACAAAAATATGCAATATAATTATGAAAATTAAAAAAATGTATATATTATATTAATATTGGCAGAAAATAAGTTTTCTACTGTTCAGGGTATTGTATCGAAATTTCTAAAATATGTATGGAATACCACAGACTAAGGAATAATATAGACAGAGTATAATAGAACTAAATGTGAAGCCAAACAATAATGTTTTAAAATAGTATTTAGATTACAATTTGTATATGGAGTGATAAGTAAATAAATGTTAATAAATAGAAATAGCTGATAGATTTTATTATAATAAAAAATAAATAAGCTAATATTATACTATATCTCTTTCATGTGGCAAAAAACTAAAGTTTAAAAATACAATATAATATAGTATTATTTTTATTATTCATATTTTTAACTCAAAAATTGTATATTATGAAGTAATAATATAAAATTCACCATAATCTATAATGAAAGTAGACGATCTGTATGGCAATAGTACCATAAACAACAAATCACGCTACTATTTTTGACTTACATTTATTTTGACGGGCCCCGTCTATGTAATTTTTTTTTTATAGTATTTGAATTCTTACTTAAAATATAACAAAGCATAAAATATGAATTTAAAAAGATCAGTTGAATTATTATTGGGTCAAATTTTACAAGTAATTGTAAGGATAATGTTTAAATGAAAATTGGAATCTATACTTCTATACTAATATTAGGCAGAGTTTGTTTGTTTGTTTGTTTGTTTGTTTGTTTGTTTGAACGCGCTAATCTCAAGAACTACTATTGATTCGATTTGAAAAATTCTTTTTGCATTATTGAGGAAGGCTATATATAATCCCGGAAAAATGTACGGTTCCCGTGGGATTGTTTTTGTCTAGGGACAAGCCCGTAGCGAAGCAAGGGTGAGTCGCTAGTACAAAATAAGTTGGAAAGTATGAATAAATGGAAATGTGTTACATAAAGAGTTTCACCAAACGTTTTTAGCTAAGTAATCACTTAATTAAATATTTTATAATAATTTTGTTTATGTTAATGAATTCAAAGTGAATTGCATATATACACACACATATATATATATATATATATATATAAATCACCGAAATGTATGTACGCGCATAACTTATTAAATTCAAAACAAAGTAGAATTTAAAAGAAAATAAGATTTAGATAAACTACTTTTTACGCGAATTTTTGATATTTTTTCGAATTTTTTTCGGATTTATTTTGATTTTAGTTCCTGACGTTTCGAATGCTTCACAGCAATCATGGTCTTCTAATAAAGAATATATTACGTTATTCGAATGTTTATTGTAATTACTTGATGTTTTATTTACAGTTTTAAGATTATTTTATTATAGAAGTTTTATTATTACTTTTTGTTTTATTATTTGGTTTTATATTTTAGTTTATTTAAAGGATTTCCTATTAAAATAATTTAAAACAACGTGCATGCTTGCTTCTTAAACTACGTATGTTATATCTAAGTATAGTAGATTTAGTATTAGTCGAAGATATTGTGGAACGATACCATTCCATATCGTTAAATAAATATATTTATTTTTAGAGTAAATTGTTACATCCAATATACAAATAAAGGGAAATCATTATTATTTTATTGGTTTTATTTTACTACTAGCATTGCCCGCGGCTCCGCCCGCGTTCAGATGACCTAAAACCAAATTTTTAGGTTTTACATATTAATATACTCTTACAATGCAGATTTTGTATTTTTTCTCAGAAATATTTTCCCGCGGTAAAAAGTATCCTATATGTTGACCCGGATAACCAGCTATCAACATACCAAATTTCATCAAAATCTGTCCAGTGGTTTTCTCGTGATGCGTTAACAGACAGACAGACAAAAATTGTAAAAACTATAGATTCGGACTCTGTATAGATAATAATGTCTATTTCAATTAGATTTTCCAAAAAATATCTAATGTACAGAGGCGACTTAGTTACAATTTTATTAAATGTATAGATTTGCCCATTAATGTGTGGGAAACTTAACGAAATGGCAATACTGATTGATTGTTGATAAGATATTGTTGTAGGTTAAGTTCATAAACATACCTTTTCTATCTTATATCTAAATGTTACCCATATAAGTATGTATTTGGACCTTTTTTTAACGTCCCACTACTGGGGGTGGGCTTCCCTTCAATCAGCCGTAGTCCACCACGCTGGCCAAGTGCAGGCGAACATCACATGTCTTTTGAAAACTTGCTAGGTTCTCTCAGACATGCAGGTTT